CTTCTAACTGTCCTTGGTGTTGCAACCTTTTTATTTTCATCATATAATTTTGTCTTGTTACCATTTTTGTTATAATATTTCATAATGTTTTCTAAATGCCCAATTTATCAATTTGATTTGATTTGTATCTTAGTAATTTATTCTTCTGATCTGTTTCCTTAGATCATGTAAATGTGTGGTGACTCCTTATTTCCATGTTTACCTAGAAAGCACATTTGGACAATCCCCCTTTTGTTTTAATTTGTTATCTATATAAGCTAAACCTGACACACTTTAATAAAGAACCCTTCTTGTGAATTTTAACAGTGGCATTAATAATATGATAAGGCAAATGGACTGTATGGGAATTGTGAGGGAAATGCCCTTTTCCTTAGAAAGTGTTGCAGACAGCTCTTTGCTTTAAAATGACTTTGGACATCGAGTTCAGATGTCACCTTCAGATGAGCATTATAAACAACCATGTATTTTAACTTTGTTCACACGGCAATATAAAAGTTGAATATATGGATTTATTTCAAACCCTTTTCCTAAAGCAATATAGAACTCCTTTGCTTATTGACTGATTTTTCTGCTCATTAGGCAACTACCTTGATTTCTACCAGCACAATAGTGAGTGTGTCCTCAGAGCGTCGCCTCCTTCTTATCCAATCAATTGTTGTTTTAGTCTAAATAGTGAACTTCTAAGCAAGCAGTGAAGCCCAGCCTGGTCAGAGTCCTCATCATATCCTCATGTTGCACAGTAAGATGCACAAACTATGTCTCATGTCATGAATTTTGCATTTGTATGGCTTTAAATCAACAATGTCATGTGGACTCTTAATGCCCCCGCAGTCACTTTCTACATTCAAAATACATATAAGTGACATATACAGTGAATGTTTCTCTCTGAATATTTGTATCTATGTTTAGCAGCTTGTTGCCTGGATGCAAACCTCTGACTTCACCCTGACGTCCCAATGCAGATCCAGAGATCAACCAATGGAACTCTTCCTCTCCTGTTCATTCATGCTTACAGCCATCTTTAGCCATGTTGTACACTGCAACACACAAGTACCATGTACACAACCTTTGTGTGTTAACATAATGTGTTTTTCTGGTATTATGATGCAACAGTGTCATCCTGACTTTTCAGTGCCACAGCGTCCCCTGAGCTTCAAAGCATGATTTGGACTGAGAGGATGATTACTGTGTGTGTGTGTGTGTCTGTACGTATGTGACTTGAACATTAGTGTTGCTGTACAACAGCTTGTTGCTTGGATGCAAGCTGGAAGTGTTAATATCTCTTCTTACTATTTTATCAATTTCATCACCTACATTTCATCATTTCATCTACAGTGTGTCTGCTTTGAAAACTCTTTGCCTGAGCACACGCACTCAGCTCCAGCCATGTTGCAAAGTAGATTATAAGTGTTTACCATATTATTTTTTTCAATAAGGTATTGTATTGATCTAGGTTACTCATAATTCAGACTATCCAGTGACTAAACAGTTAGTTATTCAGGTTCAGCCAGAA